TCTCTGGTGATGTATGTATCTTCATGTCTGTTTTGTCCGATATTCGTATGGCCGTCCCAGTTCTCTTTTGGGTACTGTTTGTATGGTATATCTTTACTCATATTTTCACTTTCAACCTGTTTATGTTTTTGAATCTACAGTGTGTAGATCGTGGCTGGGCGAGGTGGCTCACACCTGTAATCCCAGCACTTTGGGAGGCTAAGGTGGGTGGATCACCTGAGGTCAGGAGTTCTAGCCCAGTCTGGCCAACATGGTGAAACCCCGTCTCTACTAAAAATACAAAAATTAGCTGGGTATGGTGGCGGGCATCTGTGATCTCAGCTACTCGGGAGGCTGAGGCACGAGACTTCCTTGAACCCGGAAGGGGGAGGTTGAAGTGAGCCAGGACTACACCATTGCACTCCAGCCTGGGCAATAAGACTAAAACTCAGACTAAGAAAAATCAATAAAATAAAAATGAAAGCGTATAGATTGCATAGCGTGTGTAGTTGGATCTTATTTGTTTATTTCTTAACCCACTCTGAAAATCTTGGCCTTTTACTTGGAGTGTTCAATTCATTATCACTTGCTATCATCGACCCAGTTACATTTACATATGCCACTGTTTTTTTTTGTTTGTTTGTTTAGTTTAGTTTGAGACAGAGTCTCACTCTGTCACCCAGGCTGGAGTTCAGTGGTGTGATCTCAGCTCACTGTACCCTCTGCCTCCTGTGTTTAAGCAGTTCTCCTGCCTCCGCCTCCTGAATAGGCTGGGATTACAGTCTCGCACCACCATGCAATGGCAAATGTTTGTATTTTTAGTAGAGACAGGGTTTCACCAGGTCAGGGTTGGTCTCGAACTCCTGACCTCAAATGAGCCACTCGCCTCAGCCTCCCAGCATTCTAGGATTACAGGCATAAGCCACTGTGCTCAGCCCTATGCCCGGCTAATTTCTGTATTTTTACAAAAGTTATGTGTTTTGTGTTTTTTAATTCCTCTGTTCCTCCATCATTGCCTTTGTTGTGCTAAATGAATATTTTCCAGTGTACCATTTTAATTTCTTTTATATATATATAATGTATTTATTTTCTTATGGTTGCTCTGGAGATTTTAACAAGCATTCTAATGTATCACAATCTTTTTCAGATGAATCCAGTAAAACACAGAAACTTTGTTCCAATGAAATTTCATTCCCTCTTCCTTCCTTTTCACTATATTTTTTCATATATGTCTTTATATGTTTCAACCTTTTTATAGTTAGAAGTTACACATCATAAGGTATATTTTTATATGTTATACATTATAGTAGGGTTTTATAATTATTGTGTTATGCAGCCATCTTTTAATTGGATAAGAGGCTGGGCCAAGCACAGTGACATCTGCCTGTAGTCCCAGCTACTTGAGAGGCTGAAGCAGGAAGGCAGGAGGATCACTTGAGCCCAGGAGTTTGAGACTAGCCTGACCAACATGGTGAAACCTGATTTCTAGTCTTATAGTAAGACTCCATCTTTAAAAAATAATAATAATAAGCCGGGCGAGGTGGCTCACACCTGTAACCCCAGCACTTTGGGAGGCTGAGGTGGGTGGATCACAAAGTCAGGGGTTCGAGGCCAGCCTGACCAACATGGTGAAACCTGATTTCTACTTAAAAATAAAAAATTAGCTGGGCGTGGTGGTGCACACCTGTAATCCCAGCTACTTGGGAGGCTGAGGCAGGACAATTGCTTGAGCCCAGGAGGCTGAAGTTGCAGAGAGCAGAGAGCGCACCATTGCACTCCAGCCTGGGGGACAGAGAGAGATTCCGTCTCAAAATAATAATAATAATGATAATTTAAAATTTAAGTTGGCCAAAAGAAAAATATATACTGTTTTTTAAATAATTACCTTTATTAGTGTTCATTTATTTCCTGATTATCATTCGTTCTATTGAGATGAATCTCACTCTGTTGCCCAGGCTGGAGTGCAATGGCACAATCGCTGCTCACTGCAACCTCCACCTCCCAGTTTCAAGCAATTCTCTTGCTTCAGCCTCCTGAGTAGCTGGCATTACAGGCGCCCACCACCATGTCCAGCTAATGTTTGTATTTTTAGTAGAGACAGGGTTTCACCATGTTGGCCAGGCCGGTCTCAAACTCCTGACCTCAGGTGATACTCCTGCTTCGGCCTCCCAGAGTGCTGGGATTACAGGCGTGAGCCACCCATATGTTAGTTCTTTAGGCATTATTTATAAGCTGCTTTGAAGTGGGCTATGTCCAATATCTTGCCCTCTTATGGACAGTTTTTTTTTTTTTTTTTTGAGACAAAGTCTTGCTCTGTCACCCAGGCTGGAGTGCAGTGGTGCAATCTTGGCTCACCACAACTTCTGCCTCCTAGGTTCAAGTGATTCTCCTGCCTCAGCCTCCCAAGTAGCTGGGAGTGCCACCACACCGACACCGGCTAATTTTTCACATGTTTTGGTAGAGATGGGGCTTCACCATGTTGGCCAGGCTAGTCTTGAACTCCTGGCCTCAAGTGATCTACCTGCCTTGGCCTCCCAAAGTGCTGGGATTACAGGTGTGAGCCACTACGCCTGGCCAGGGACAGTTTTTAAAAATCACTTTGTTTTATGGGCATGCCCTATGTATTCTTTTCTTTTCTTTCTTTCTTTTTTTTTTTTTAGACAGTGTCTTGCTCTGTCCTCCAGGCTGGAGTTCAGTGGTGTGATCTTGGCTCACTCACTCCTGGGTTCAAGTGATTCTCCTGCCTCAGTCTCCCAAGTAGCTGGGATTACAGGTGCCCACCATCATGCCCGGCTAATTTTTGTATTTTTTTTTTTTTTTTCCGAGACGGAGTTTCGCTCTTGTTACCCAGGCTGGAGTGCAATGGCGCGATCTCGGCTCACCGCAACCTCCGCCTCCTGGGTTCAGGCAATTCTCCTGCCTCAGCCTCCTGAGTAGATGGGATTACAGGCACGCACCACCATGCCCAGCTAATTTTTTGTAGTTTCAGTAGAGACGGGGTTTCACCATGTTGACCAGGATGGTCTCGATCTCTTGACCTCGTGATCCACCCGCCTCGGCCTCCCAAAGTGCTGGGATTACAGGCTTGAGCCACCGCGCCCGGCTGAATTTTTGTATTTTTACTAGAGATGGGGTTTTCATCATGTTGGCCAGGCTGGTCTCAGACTCCTAACCTCAAGTGATCGCCCACCTCAGCCTCCCAAGGAGCTGTGATTTCAGGCATGAGCCACTGTGCCCAGCCATACTCTTGTTTCTTTGTATGTCTCATAATTTTCTAATTGATATTATCTTAGATAATATATTGTAGAATAGAAACTCTGAATTCTAATCCTTTCCGCACTCCCCTGGGTGATGGTGGTGGTGGTGCTTAGTGACTTGGTTGGATGAATTCTTTAGGGTAAGTTTCCCCTGCAGGCTGTGGCTACAGAGGTATTTGCCAAATTAAAAAAAAAAAAAAATCTGTAACATTTAAGTTTGGCTTCCTAAGGCTCACCCCTGGGTCAGTGCAGCTTAGTGGCCAATTACTGGTTCGAATACTCTTGGTTTCTCTTCAAATCATATAAATCTTTGGCCCTTTACAATTACTGGTTCGATATGGTGCTTAAAAACCCTGAACCAGGGTGGGCGTGGTGGCTCACGCCTGTAATCCCAGTACTTTGGGAGGCTGAGGCGGGTGGATCACGAGGTCAAGAGATCGAGACCATCCTGGTCAACACGGTGAAACCCCGTCTCTACTAAAAATACAAAAAATCAGCTGGGCATGGTGGCACATGCCTGTAATCCTAGCTACTCAGGAGGCTGAGGCAGGAGAATTGCCTGAACCCAGGAGGCGGAGGTTGCGGTGAGCCGAGATTGCGCCATTGCACTCCAGCCTGGGTAACAAGAGTGAAACTCTGTCTCAAAAAAACAACAACAACAACAAAAAAAAAAACCCTGAACCAGGGCCGGCGTGGTGGCTCACACCTATAATCCCAGCACTTTGGGAGGCCGAGGCAGGTGGATCACGAGGTCAAGAGAATGAGACCATCCAGGCCAACACGGTGAAACCCCGTCTCTACTAAATATACAAAATTAGCATGGTGGCGCGTGCCTGTAGTCCGCCCGGCTAATTTTGTATTTTTAGTAGAGATGGGGTTTCACCATGTTGGCCAGGCTGGTCTCGAACTCTTGGCCTCAACGTGGGCCACCAAGCCCAGCCTTCTGATAGCCTTTTCAAAGGAGGCAATCAGCTATACAAATGTCTCAGAGAGCAGAGAGGTGACTGTGAATCGGACGGGAGGCAGGTTTGCCCTCAGCAGTTTCCAGCCTGAGTTTTTAGTGATGATGGGGGCCCCAGATACTTCCCTTTCACATGTCATGTCTACTGGGTCTCCTGGTCGAACTTCTGACCTCGCTCTCAGATATGGAAAGCTCTGACGAAGCCTACTTTTGCATCTGTTAGGTCTCAAATGCCTTGGGTTTAAAATAACCTTCACATCCACTCGGGTTCCGAGTGGGTCCCCACAGCTCGAAGTAACCCACGGAGGGGCGGGGGGCGAAGGAAAGTCGATGGGAGCCTGGCGGCTGCGGAAACCCAGGGCGGGCAAGGCCCCTGGGGGGTGATTTTCCGCAGCGGGGCGGCTGTCCCAGGCGGCAGGTGCGCGGGTTCGCGGCAGGGCTCGGGCCGCGGCAGGAGAGAACCGGTCACGCCCGGAATTCGAACGCCGGCGCCAGGCGGCGCTGGGCCCCAGCGCCCACGGTCCGCCCGCGGTCCGCCCACGGTCCGCCCGCGGTCCGGGCCTTCCGCGCGCCTCAGCGGGCGCGATTTCCACACGCCGGCGCCCCGTTTCCAGCGAGCAGTCGGTGAGTCCCGGCGCGTCCCGACCCCTCCGGCCGCGGCCTGCCGGGCACGGCGCGGACTCGGCCTCTGACCTCAGACCCCGCGCCGCGAGCTCTCCGTCGCCGGGCCCCTCGGAGCCGGGCGCGGTTTCCGGGGGACGCGTTTCCCGGTGTACCGTGGGCCGCCCGGACCGCAAAGGACGCGGCCCCTTCCGGTGGTGGCGCGGAGCCCTGGGCCCGGCTGCGGCCCGGCGCGGTGCTGGCGTTCCCGGAGGCCCGAGCGCGGCGGGGGCCCCGGGCGTCGGCGAGGCCGGAGCGGGGCGGGCCCGGGACACAGGCGGCCGGCGCCCTCGGAGCCAAAGGCGCGCGACGGTCACGGCGGGGCCCTGGAGCGGTGAGGACGCGGGCGCTCCTGTCCGTTCACAGCGCGGACGTGCCCGCCGCGGGGCTCGGGCCGAGGCCCTCGGGGGCGCCCTGTGGCGTTTCGGGCCAGCCGGGCCGCCGGGCCGGGCGCGGGGAGGGGAGCTCTGCCCTTCCCCGGGCCCGGCGCGGGGCCGATTCCCCCGGGAAGGGGCCCGGGGGTCCGTGCAGGGCCCGGCCGCGGTGGCCCTCCAGGGTCCTGACTTCCCCGTAGGGCGGTCTGCCAGGGCCAGGCCCGCGGCGGCGCTGGCGTAGCGGTTTCTTCCCGCTTCTCGGCCTTCCTACCAGGCCGACATGGAGCCCCGTCCCCAGGGCGGGTCAAAGCCTCGGGGCCCAGCGGCCCCCTCGAGGTCCGCTGCGAGGTGGCGGCACTGGAGTGGTCTTTCTCCAGCCTGCACCGACCCCCACCTCTCGTGCCCCTTTGGTGCCCCCTGCGTGTGACCCAGCGGTGGCAGAGCAGCCTTAGAAGAGTGACCGCTGCCTCCGAGTCCTGCGCCTGTCGTCGGGCCTGGCTGAGCCCTGGGTCTGCTCCTTTCCCCCAGCCTGGAGACGATGCCAAAGCTGCAGGGCTTCGAGTTCTGGAGTCACACCCTTCGGGGGGCGCGCCACGTGGTGGCCCCCATGGTGGACCAGAGCGAGCTGGCCTGGAGGCTGCTGAGCCGGCGCCACGGAGCACAGCTCTGCTACACGCCCATGCTGCACGCGCAAGTCTTCGTCCGCGACGCCAACTACCGGAAGGAGAACCTGTACTGCGAGGTGTGCCCCGAGGACCGGCCCCTCATCGTGCAGGTGCGCAGTGTTGGGTCTCAGCCGCTGGAATGCCTGGGGAAGAGCCCTTCCCTCTATGGTGGGACATCATCCTCAGCCTTTCCAGAGACAGCTTTCCAATTCCAGGAGGAGAGGGAGAAGGTGGCGCCAGGCACAGAGAGTCCACGCAGCCACAGCAGTAATTCCTGTGGGCGAGCCAGGGCTGCAGGTGCACTTCCCAGAATCCAACCCCATTCCTAGGAGCTAGCTTGGGCAGCCCTCCTGGCACCCCCTGGATTGCTGCCTCTCACACTCCCGCTTCAGAACCAGTAGGGATGCCTCTGCTCTTCAGAAGTCAGTGATTGTGGTGTCTACCACAGTTCAGAAGAAAATCTGTAAATCTGGGTGGTTTCTCAACTCCTCCGGCTCTGTCATATTGTAAGCCTCGGCAGGACAGGACACCCTCCTGCAGTGAACCTGGGCCCACACTCTCATGGGATCACACTGGACCTCTCGTAGGGCTGGGCAGCAAGGGACTGGTGCCTGGCTCGCTCATGGCTGACTCCTTCATCTTCTGCAGTTCTGTGCCAATGACCCGGAGGTGTTTGTTCAGGCGGCTCTCCTGGCTCAGGATTACTGTGACGCCATTGACCTGAACCTGGGCTGCCCACAGATGATAGCCAAGAGAGGTGAGCTCCATGTGGAGCATGGGGGCTGTGGGGGCAGGAGCCAGAGCCAGCTCAGGGTAGCCCCAGATGTGGTGAGCTTGGAGGATGGCAGGCCCTGCCTCTGTCGTAGGCTGGAGCCAGTCGTCCTCTGTGCTTTGCCTCTGGAGGGTGCTGTCCTCAGGCCCCCAGGGCTGTGGTCCGAGCCCTGCTGGCTCTCACTTCCTCAGGGAGCTCCTTCTGCATAATTGCTGCCAGGGCATCCCCTCACCCCCTTGCACTCCTGTAAGTGGGGTCCGGCCTGTCTACCTCACTGGGCCCCTGGGGAGGTGTTGCTTGGTCCCAGACTGTGGGGCTGGGGTTCCATTCAGCACCTTCTGAGCTTATGCAGCTGGGCAAGAGGCCGAGTCTGATGCCAACAAACCACTAGACTCTGACTGTTCCACTGCCCCAACTAGAGACACTGCTGGTTCTGAGGACTTGCGGGGCAGCTCCTGGTCTGCATGGACAGAGGAGGGGGTGCAAGGCCTTGGCCCCACCAGCCTGAACACAGGTGTCAGCCAGGCCATGCTTGTTCTTTGCAGGTCACTATGGCGCCTTCCTGCAGGACGAGTGGGACCTGCTCCAAAGAATGAGTGAGTTGGCTGCGTGGGCGTCGAGCCCCAAGCCCCTTGAAAGGGACACATGGGCACTGTCCACTTGGTGGGGCTCCCGGCAGCACCCTGGGGGTTCCTGCCCACAGCAGGCTCTCTGCTGGAAGGAGGTGGCTGTGAAGTTGCCCGTCCTGTGCCACTTGCCCCTTAACACCAGGCTGTAGGTGCCAGGGCAGAGTCCTTGCTCTGGCCCAGCCTCAGATGTTCTGGGAGACAGAGCTGGCCTTGGCCGTACTTGTTTGAACCTGGGAGGGCTGGGGAATGGTGGAGGGAGCCTGCGCAGCAACCTGAGGGTGAGGCTCAGATGGTGGCCTGGGCTGCCTCTCAGCCTCCCGGCAAAGCTGCTGGCTTTGCTCTCTGTGGGGCCCTGGGCTCTGGGAACACCATGGCCCCCTCAAAAGCTGCCTCTCTTCTCCCCAGTTTTGCTGGCCCACGAGAAACTCTCTGTTCCTGTCACGTGCAAAATCCGTGTCTTCCCAGAGATTGACAAGACTGTGAGGTACGCCCAGATGCTGGAGAAGGCCGGCTGCCAGGTGAGCCCTGGGCTTGCATGGGCGTGTGGGCCCCGGCTGGGCCTTTACGCAGAGGACACAGCTGAGGCTCTTCCTGTGTCCACTCAGACACCGTGCACCGTTGGCCTCATAGGAGCAGTGGCTCTCCTGACTGGCCTGTCCCCACTGGCTCTGAGTGCCACCACCTCCAGCCCAGGCCTCTACAGCAGAAACTGCTTTCCTGGCTCCAGGGTTTTGTCCCTGCGGAGAGTAATATCAGGGTCTTCACCATGTTCCTAGCATCCTAGAGGCCGGCAGGGCCTCCTTTTGGGCTGCTCAGCTTCCAGTCTCCAAGAGGGTCAGGAAGGGGCCACTTGGCTGTCAGCAGAGTTGCTCCCCTGCCTGTGTTCCCTGCACACTGAGCCTGTCCTGGCACAGGCCTGGATGGGCTGCTGTCTGTAGGGATGCCCCTTGACACTCACCTGGAGGCGGACAGCAACCTCCATCACCTGGAGATGAGGCTTGCCTAGGGGCTGTGGGCTCAGTGCCCCCCCAGCCTGGAGTCATTCCGGAGCCAGTCTCTCCCACACCTTTGGCTTGGGGCAGTGGGGATGCTGCCACTTCCCAGCCTGGCTGTTGTGTGGGTCTGGGCAGCACGTGCATCCTGGGGCTCCCTTGGAGTGCAGAGACCTTGGGGCAGGCCCTGGACGGCCATTCCTCAGCTCTGCTTCAGGAACTGAGATGCTGAGGGAAAGCCCCTGGAATTGGACACAGGGCTCAGAGGGGCAAATGGTGGAGGGGGTTCTGGGGCTCAGAGGGGTGGAGGGTCTTGCAGGAGGCAGAGGGGGCTCGGAGGGGGCTTGGAGGGGTGGAGGAGGCTTGGAGAGGCAGATGGGGCTGGGGTGGGGTGGAGGTCTTGGAGGGGCCAGAGGAGGCTCGGGGGGACTTGGAGGAGTGGGGGGGCAGAGGAGGGGCGGAGGGGCTTGGAGGGGGCAGAGGAGACTCAGAGGGGGCTTGGAGGAGGGGGGGGGGCAGAGGAGGGCAGAGGGTCTTGGAGAGGGCAGAGGAGGCTTGGAGGAGTGGCGGCGGGGGGCAGAGGAGGGTGGAGGGTTTTGGAGTCAAACGACCGCTGGTCTGTCCTAGTTGCTGACAGTGCATGGGCGCACCAAGGAGCAGAAGGGGCCCCTGTCGGGTGCAGCGTCCTGGGAGCACATCAAGGCCGTGCGGTGAGTGGACAAGGACAAGAGCGGTGGGTGATGCAGTCCTCAGTCCTTGGGGCTTTGGTGGGGGTCCCAGCTCCACACCTCAGGGTGCTTGGCACACCTGACACCTGTGACCACCAAGGGGGTTGGGGCCGAGGCTGGGGGCAGCATCGCTGTGGGAGCAGAAGCTACCTGCCAGGATAGTCTGGGGGGTCTGCCTGGGGCCTGGGCACGGTCCCGGGTGGGACGAGGGACAGGTGTTTCTGTGCCAACAGGAAAGCTGTGGCCATCCCTGTGTTTGCCAATGGGAACATCCAGAGCCTACAGGATGTGGAGCGCTGCATCCAGGACACAGGTGTACAGGGTGTCATGAGCGCAGGTGAGTGCAGGTTGGCAGAGCCCAGGACACGCCGGGGGCCCGTGCATATGCCCCGATGCCACCACCCAGGTCAGCGCCTCCCATCGCTTACTGCCCTTACCACAGTGCTCTTCGCAGATAGTGTTCTTCGGTCCCAGTCTGCTCTCATGGGCCGGAGCTGGCCTTGTCCCTGGTGTGAGGTGGCACAGGAGTATGTCCTGGGTGCTCTAGGCTTTCCTCTGCCATCCACCTGGAGCAGCCCCCAAGGCTTCCCTCTCCATTCTCCTCCCACAGAAGGCAACCTGCACAACCCCGCCCTGTTTGAGGGCCGGAGCCCTGCCGTGTGGGAGCTGGCCGAGGAATACCTTGACATTGTGCGGGAGCACCCCTGCCCACTGTCCTACGTCCGGGCCCACCTCTTCAAGCTGTGGCACCACACGTGAGTCATCCCTATGGCAGAAGCCACGCTGGGGGGTTGCCCAGGCAGAGACCATCAGAGCCCGTCTGAGGCATTTCTGCAAGTTTTGTCAAAATAACTTGCTGCTAAGTCAGGTCTTCAGGGGCTGGGATGACAGGAGTGGAGTTGGGCAGGAGTGTGCCCGGCACTCAGCCTGGGGCCTGGTGGTGGAGCAGGGGGCCCACCCCGCATGACAGGGCCTCTGTCTCAGGCTGCAGGTGCATCAGCAGCTGCGAGAGGAGCTGGCCAAGGTGAAGACCCTGGAGGGCATTGCCGCCGTGAGCCAGGAGCTGAAGATGCGGTGTCAGGCATGTGCGGGGACTGGTGGGAGCCCAGCCTTGTCGTGGGTGAGGCGTTGGGGCCGTGACCAGGGCCTTGGGCTTTTGCAGGAGGAGATATCCAGGCAGGAGGGAGCGAAGCCCACCGGCGACTTGCCCTTCCACTGGATCTGCCAGCCCTACGTCCGGCCGGGGTGAGTGCTCCACCCTCTGCCCGCAGTGGTGCACCTGCCCCGCTTGTCCTCAGCCACCAGGGTCAGCTCCCACCCCAGAGGGAAAGGAGGAGGGGGGCCACGGATCCCAGCAGCATGCACCTTCCGTGTGCCCCTCAGCATCCTTGGTGGAGGGTGCTGGTTGGTGGCTCAGCCTCCCTCAGTGGACACTTGGATTTTAAATATCTTTTTTTTTTTTTTTGAGACAGTCTCTCTCTGTCACCCAGGCTGGAGTGCAGTGGCACGATCTTGGCTCACTGCAACCTCCATCTCCCAGGTTCTAGTGATTCTCCTGCCTCAGCCTCCCAAGCAGCTGGGACTAGAGGCATCTGTCACCACGCCCAGCTAATTTTTGTGTTTTTAGTAGAGATGGGGGGTTTCACCATGTTGGCCAGGATGGTCTTGATCTCTTGACCTCGTGATCCCCCTGCCCTGGCCCACCATGCTCTGCCTTAAATCTTTTAAGATACTTCTTTGAGCTCCTGTGATCCTGGTAGATTTGTCCATGGGTCAAGAGGTTGACCCCAGCTTCCACTGGGTTCTCAGAGGTGAGGCCCATCTGTGGCCACATCCCTGCCTGGACCTGGTGGCTCAGACCTTGGCCTGCTTGAGGTGCAAACTCCATCCCAGGGGGCCCAGCCTCCCTAGCGGCCACTCCTGAGAGGGCTGCACGCTGCCCACGCTCCTCAGCGACCACACTCGCCACAGACCCCTGGCCTCTCCTCACCCTGGGTCCTCACTTGGGGTCCGACCCATGTGGCTGTGGCTGCTGGGCCCCTCACGGTGTCCTTGGGCTCTGCCCGCTGCCCTCCCCACAGGCCCAGGGAGGGGAGCAAGGAGAAGGCAGGTGCGCGCAGCAAGCGGGCCCTGGAGGAGGAGGAGTGTGGCACGGAAGTCCTGTCCAAGAACAAGCAGAAGAAGCAGCTGAGGAACCCCCACAAGACCTTCGACCCCTCTCTGAAGCGTAAGTGCTGATGGGCCTGAGACAACAGCCCCTTTATCCTCCTCGTCTCCTCCGTTGCCAGTTGACAGGAGCCCAGATTTGTGGTCAGGGAGGCTCAAGGCCCAGAGGTGGAAGCAGATGCTTGGGGGCTTGGCATGGTCAGCCAGACTTGGGGTCTGAGTGCGGGAACCTGTGCAGGCCCCACATGTGGGACGTGGCTCAGTGAAATCAGACGAGGCTGTGGAGCAAGCCTCTCAGCCAGGTGCCACCCAGGTGGCCACTGAGGGGCTCGTCTGCAGGTCAGGGCCTTGGGTCGCTGCAGCTGTCCCTGCCCCGCCTCACGCTGAGCAGCCACTGAGAGGGCGGCAGGGGTACGCAGGAGCGTTTGCATGGGTCTTGTTGCTGGGCCAGAAGTGGCAGCAGGGCAGGCTGGGTGAGACGGGATGAAGGTGCTCACCCCTCTCCTCATGGCCACCAGCGGCAAGGCTTCAGCCCGGTGCTGTCTCCCCTGAGAATGCTGGTGCCCCCCACATCCTGGGCCAACCCATCTGGGCCCTCAGCAGGTAGCGGCCTCCCAGATTTCTCCGACAGCTTTACAAGCTGCAGGGGACCACTGAGAGCAACCTTCCCATGTAACCACCAGGGGGCGGGCCAGTCCATGAGCAGCTGCCACATCATCAGCCTGGTGCCAGCAGTCCCTGACTGCCACACTGCCCCCCGGGGCCACTGCGTGAGGCAGCTGGGAGAGGCAGGAAATGGGGCTTTGGGCTGAGTTCTTGATCCTTGGCCCTTTTGCCTGGGAGACCTGGCACTGAAGAGCATGGAACCCCTTGAACCCTGGGGGTGGGAACACCTGTCGCCTTGTCCCTGCCTGGGAGTGGGATGGACGAGGCTGCTCATCCTGCCAGGGTCCCCCAGCCCACCCGCTTCCTATCCATTTCCTGTAGGATGGTCCCTCCACATCCCCTCACCCGTCCCTTGCTGAGGGAAAAGCAGATGTGGCCAGCCTGCATCCTCTGCCCTCCCAGAGCCTCCTGGCCTGGCTGGCCACAGCTGGCATGGACACTGTCAGTGGGCTCCATGCAGGTGATGGGGCAGCCCCCGTAGCTAGGCCACCCAGCTCTCATTCACCAGCACCCTTTTCTTTTCCCAGCAAAATATGCAAAGTGTGACCAGTGTGGAAACCCAAAGGTGAGTGGGTTTCAGCTGCATGCCGCCAAGGCTTCACCTCGGGGGGAAGGGGAGGCGGGGTGGGCAAGGTTGTCCCTGCGCTGCTTGGGGTGGCAGGTCTGGTGCCCGCCCAGCTGGGTTTGTAGTGTGGCCCAAGGTGGCATGGGTGCCTCAGGAGGGCCCCTTGCTTCCAGCCAGCCCCCTGTCCAGGCCTGGAGTGGGAATGAGTCTGGGTGGGTTGGGGTGAGGGGGTCCCAGGGCTGCATCCAGGCCATGGGGATCTGCTGGCGGCTTCCCTGGCGGGCTGCTCCCCTGCTGGCTACCTGTCCCCGGGAGCCATGCTGGCCACAGGCTCCCCAGCTTTCCTGTTCCCAGGGCAACAGATGCGTGTTCAGCCTGTGCCGCGGCTGCTGCAAGAAGCGAGCCTCTAGAGAGACCGCGGACTGCCCAGGTAAGGCTGCCTGCCACCCGCCCCCCATGAGCAGACAGACCCCTCTGCCACCTGACCCCTGATTCTCCTCTCTCTGCCAGGTCACGGATTGCTTTTTAAAACCAAATTGGAGAAGTCTCTGGACTGGAAAGGGACCAAGCCTGAGCTGCAGGAGCCTCAGACGGCCACGCCCAGCACACCAGGTGGCTTCTCAGAAGTCATGAGTAGTGCTCTGGCCTGAAGGCCCAGAACCCCCACCCCCAGGACCGCTCCTGGAGCCCGGACACGTCCTACTTAAGGAAACGTCTTTTACTCAGGGAATCTCCCCTTACTTAACGTGGAAAGACGCGCCCTGTCCCCCTCGGCCCGCTCTGGGGGCCTGGAATGCTGCAGTGGGGAGCAGGCCCCAGGCTGGACCTGCCCTGTCCTCAGCACGCGTGTGCAAAAGCGGACAATAAATCATTTCAAAGATGCCAGAGCCATAGCCTGTGATCGCCGCCCCCCAGACCCAGGGAGGTATGAGCCAGGGCAGGTGCTGTTAGGGCCAGTGGGGGCTTCTGAACAACAAGATGCGTCTAAACGAAGGCAGCACACGTGCATCTGTGCAGAGGAACGGGGGACTGACTTAGGGCCCAAGCCTGCCTCCCCCATAGGCTCTACGGCCAGAGCTCCGGGAGCTTCCTGATGCCGCCAGCCTTGGAAGCACAGCCTGTCGGGCAACAGTGGCCGACGCTGGGGGCTGTTGAGCCCAAGGGACCCCTGCCTCCAAGCCGAGCCCCAGGGAGCCAACCTTCAAGAACCCAAGGCCACCCAGGGGTGACCAGAGCCTGCACAACAGGAAGGAACGGCCAAGGGCAATGCTCAGTCTGCTTTTTAATGGATACTGCCCACTTGTCTGCACCTAACCAAGGCGGGAACAGGAGGGGTCTGGGAAGTGGTGCCACTGGGCTTGGGTGCCCCACAGTCTGCTCCCTGGGGACAGAAACCCATGGGGTTGAGCCCTCCAGGCCTCTTTTTCCAGGAAGGGCCACAACTAGCAGCCGCCTGCCTCCCCAGCCCCGGCAAGAGCACGCAGGCTGGGGAGCACCCAGTGGCCAGGTCCTCAGCTGGGCCGAAGGCAGCACTGAGCCGCCTGGAAGTGAGCAGGTCCGTGGGGTGGGGGCGGGGTGCAGATGTCCTGGAGGCCAAGCGCCGCCCTCACATGTTGGTGCTCATCCGGGACTGGCTGTTGGCTGGAGTCAGCTCCCCCTGGCTCCCTTCTCTGGGTGGGGACTGCCGAGGAGACGAGAAGCAACTAAGCCACCAGGCCCCACGTGCCACACACCGCACCTGCCCACCCGCTGACGCCTGCCCACCTTGACATGGATCTGGTTGCGGAGCACGGCTGCCCGCAGCATCATGGCCTTGGCGCGGCGCTGGAACTCCTTGCCCATCAGCAGAGACTTCTCGAAGGTGGTGCTGCGCTGATCCACGTCCCGGGCGTATAGGATCTGCAGAGACACAGGCTCAGTGGGGCTCAGGCTCCCCCACGGCCACTCCCACTGCCCCACAGCCCACGGCCACCTTGCTGTGGGAGTCCACGCGGGCACTGATCAGTCCCTCCAGGATTAGCTGTGTCAGCTCGTCCTCCAGGGCGGCCACCGTGGTGTTGAAGGCCGCCGCCATCCGGTGCATGTCAGCTGACACGTAGGGGCTGAAATACTGCAGGACAGAGGAAAGTCAGCTCCACGGTGCCCTACATGCCCACCCGCCCGCCCGTTGTGTGCCAGCCTGACCCCCATGCTTACCTGGATGAGGGCACGGTTGCGAATCTGGGTGTACAAGGTCCTGACGTGGGGAGCCAGATACATGTCCAGGAGCAGGTTGTCCTGGGGAAGGGGCTGGTCAGAACCGGGACAGGAGGCCAGACAGGACCCCATCTCACCCCCACCCCAGGCTGGGCCCCACCTTCATCTCATCCAGCATCTTGAGGCACGAGGCGTACTTGGACTCGTAGAATTTGAAGATGATGTCTCGAACCTGCGGCTCCAGCTCCAAGAACAACTTGAAGGAGCTGCTGAGGCAGACCCTCAATTTCAGGCCTCTGCCTGCCCCTGCCCTCCAAGTTGCCAGTGGGACACCAGTCCCCAAACAAACCATGGGAAGATGGTGGGGCCAGGGGACCAGGATGTGCAAGGCCAAAGAAGTGGCCTGCGGAGAGGGATGGGGACTGCAGGACCAGGGCGCCCACCTGCTGGAGATGACATTGCGCTGCAGCTCCTGCCGGTCAAAGGTAGCCAAGGCACACAGGCCACCATAGACGGCCACATTGCTGGGGGACAGCAGCTGAGAAGCAGAGACCCGGCATCACAGGCAGAGAAGGGCCAGGCCACCCCTGCCCCATCACCCATTCACAGAATGCCTAAGACTCTACTCTGAGAGAACCCACCCGCCTACAAAAGCGGTCCAACCCATGAGCCCATGCTTGGTCTCCCAAGTCCCCAAGAGGGTCCCTTACCTCAGGAAAGTCACAGTGATCAAAGGAAGCCAGCAGGAAGCACTTGGCAGCCTGCTTGTACTTCCTTGCAGCCAGCTCCGCCAAGCCTAGTGGAGGGGGAGTGGTGGGGGGAAGAAGGGGTAAGACCCAGAGCCTCAGGGAAGCCACTAATGGCTTGAGGAGGAAGGCGACCATCAGGGGCTTACTGGCCTCTCCTGCCCGGGAGCTGTTCCTCAGCACTGGGGAGATACTCTAGTCCTAGATGGAAACAGCCTCACCAGTGCCCAGCAGGCTCCCTGAAGCTAGGTGTGCAGGGAAACCTTACGCTGCTAGCATGGCTGCAAAGGACACCGGGCTCAGAGCGGCTCGGGCTGCAGACCTGCCCCAGGCCCACAGTGACAGCAGCCAGACCCTGACAACATGTCACCCCTGGCTTACCTGGGGCAGCCTAGGCACCACCTACACCCGCACACGAGCCCTACAACATCCTTCGTCCTGCCAGGGAAGGTTTCCCTGGCTGAGGTAGGGACCAGCTACTGCCCTGAGCTGGGAGGACTCAGCAACACGGGAACATGGGGCCAGCTGGGCACAGCCCAGGCCCTTACCTGCGGCACACTTGAGCTTGGTGAGGATGGCCTGGGTCTGGCTGTCACGCTCTCCTCGCTGCTGCAGGGGGAAGCCACATGCGTGAGGCCCATTTCCTGGAGCTTGATGCCCAACCCCAGACCAAGAGGAGAAGGGAGATCCACTGGGGGAGGGTGAATAAGGTGGCGGGGGAGGACAGCAGGGGCCACAGTGGTCAGGAATCCTGGGGCAAGGTCTCTGAGGCGGCAGCCTGTACCTCGGCAATCTCCGGGGTGGACTCGGCCTTGCTGACGTAGCTCAGCACATGAGACCAATTCTGCAAGTAGACGCTGACCTGGTGGGCGGGGGCAGGGCCAAGTAAGCCTGGGTGCCCCTACGGCCCAGCCACAATGCCCCCACCCCCCCGCTGGGGCAGGCCGACCTTGATGACGTTGAGACACATGTTGATGACATGCTTGGCGCTGGTGCAGTAGTCCCGGGCCCGGGAGTAGCACTTGAGGGCGTTGCTGAGGTCCCCACAGTCCAGGTAGTGGTCGCCCAGATCGTCGTGGCCGCGCCGGATGCTCTCCTTGATGGAGTTGCCCTTGTAGTTCTTCAGGTCAGTGTCTAGCTTCTCCAGCTTCAGCAGGGCCTTCTTCCGCGTGGCTTCCACCCAGGCCGTGTCCAGGGCTGGGGGCTCCACGCCACTCTCAGGGATGGCGTCAGGTGCGTTCTGCAGCTCCCTGAGAGAGGACCTGGCCATCAGGATGGCGATGGTCACAGGCGCCACAGAGGAGAGAAGGAAGCCGCCAGCCTAAGGCTGCCCTCGAAGCCCTAACCAACACGCAGGTGGGCCCCTTCCACTGGCTCCAAACCCTGTCTCCAGGGCCCAGTCTGCACCAGGGCCGCAGCAGTAACTGCTGATGCCAGGAGCCCACAGCAAGGTGGGGAAGCCAGCAGGGGGATGTCCTGAGCCACGGTCTCCAACAGCTCCCCTCGGAATCAAATCCCTGTGTGCACACACACAGGAGAAGCCACACCACAGAGGGCACTTCCACGCTCCACTCGCCTGAATTCCATCGAAGGGGCACAGGAAGGGGGCCCAGCCCCAGACACCTGCTCCCTTGGAGGTCTCTGCTTTCTCTTGCCAAGCCCCTGACCTCACCTGGTGGCCTCTGAGAGCTTGCGGTGGATCTCCTCATACATGTCGACATTGAAGGTTCTCTGCACGAAGGAGAGGGCCATCTTTAGGGCCTCCACCCGCAGCGTGGGGCAGTGATCAGCAATGAACTGCAGCCGCTCGATACGCATCAGGCCACTGTAGCTGGCTGCATACTGCTCCAGATCCTGGGGGTGGGCGCACACAGGTCAGGCAGGGTGTGTGAGGTGGGACCCCAGCCCCAGGCCTGAGGGTCAGGAGCTGGGGCCCTATTGCCTCCCAGCCAGAATGCCGCCCTGGGCCCACAACAGGAACCGGGCACATGGGCACAGGGGTGCAAGACTGACTGCTGTCCCAGGTGCTGCAGAGATGCCTGGGTAGGCCTGGGGCAGCACCCAGTTTCAGGGATGGACGCCCACTAGTGACTGCTGGTCGCTGGGCCGAGCAGTGGGGAGACTGGCCCTGGCTCCTCTGTGAGCAGCATCTGAAGCTGAGCCACAAGCCCGATGTGAGTGGACAATCACAAACTCTGATAGTTTTGGGGTCAGAAAAAGACATGACATACATCACTAAGAAGGATCACTCTACCTGCTGTGCAGGCTGCAGAGGGGAGTCTGCCCTGGACCCCCCAGCAAAACTAAGACACCCAAGGTCCCGTACAGAACTCCGTACCAGGGTGGGGTTCTCCACCACGTAGTTGACATCAGGTGCATTCTGTGGGTCTTCCTGGGGGTCCACGTCGATCTGCATGGGCTCCACAGCCCCCTGCAACATGGGCCAGGCACCTGGCACCTCGTTCTGGGGACCGCCCCAGGAGGGTGAGAGACCTGCACTGTTCTCTGAGCTCAGCTCTGCCGGAAGTCTCTCGGACCAGGCTGATAGGACCACACTCCCACTGCTGCTGTTCCCCAGGTGTGCCCTCCCAACCACCCTCACTCCCACCCAGGCTCCTGTGCCACCACATCAGGGAGGGGTCTCCTCACAAAACTCCAAAGCTCAGAAGCAGAAACCCCTGGCCTGATTCTAGCTGCTCATCTCTGAAAGCCAGAAAGCAGACATGGGACAACCAACGACACAGGGGCTCCTGAGGGCCCCCACACGTTCCCAGCCACCGTCCTGATGCAGTTTCCTCCAAGTCACAAGGAACCGGATGCCACCTCAACCCCGAGGCAACAGGGACGGCCCCGGAATCTGTCCTGAGCAGCGGAGCAGCAATACCGGGCCGAGAGTCACGCCACGGGTTGGGAGAAGGGGGAAAAGGGTCATCTCAGGGAGCC